ATAGCAAATCGCGAATCAGCCACTAGGAGGTCCTCCCCACCGTCGGCCTCGTAACCTAGCCTCCTGAAAACAAAGTCTGACGCTTCCAGGAAAACTCCACCTCACACGCCCCAAATCCAATGAAGAATGCCCGCTCCATGACAATCGAGACCACTTCTTCCGGAGATGACAAGTTCCGACTTCGAAGCCTAGTTGAAAAGTCCTACCAGATCCACCGTGCAGTGGTGATCAGCTTCCTTCCAAAGGCCAACTGTTCTTCTTGCTAAGGAATCATCTTACAAACAAAAAATACGATTCAAAAAGAAGCTCGAAATCGACCTCACTGCCTTTTTCAGCTTGCTTGAAACTGCGACCTTCTAGGAGCACGGCGTCGACACTCTGGTGATCGTTGGCAACAAGTCACTGATAGTGATGGTCCATATGTTGATGATGGATATTGCTTATTGGCGAGATAATGTTAACTCAAAAAAAATGTTTGAAACTGGCAAGAATTTTTGGGACAACCCAAAAATTTTCTTCTGCATGTCTATAATTTGAGTTCTGCAACTAAGGGTTAGTTTCAGAAAGGAAGCTGCCCAGTGAGTTCGCTAACTCATTTCCTTGAATTGGCAAGATGAACTTTTCGGAAGATCTGTTTCTTTATGCAAAACCAAAACAGTTCTCGTGAGATGTGATGCAGATGCAACATGAATGTTTCACAGATGACAAACAAATCAGCTGAACAGTAACTCGCAGCACTGTACTCACTGTCGCAATCAAGGAAACTTATAGAGGATCCACTTACAACAGCTTGAGATTTCTTGTGGGTGGGTACTTTCCAGTAAATTCTTCATAGTTGAATATCCGGGTGACCACCCTTGAATGCCAAATGCAGTGCAATGGAATTCCGTGCTTTGCCAAACATCGAAGATATCGCATCAATATAGACTAAACAAAATACGACAGAAATATCACCAAAAAAAAAAAACTTCTAACACTCACTTGTCTCATTGATAAATTCCATCGATGGTTCAAGAGATCGCAAAACGATCTTATTAACCTTATTATAGCGTCCACATCTAAACAAACATGTTACTAGATAAAAGTTTACACAATGCTCACACGATGACGTGCTCAAGACTTTTCACACTCCTCCTCCTATTGCTTTTGAATCGAGTGGTCATCTCTTAACATATTGGGTTGACCCATAATTTCTGGCCGATTTTGGTTCAAATTCAATTTTCAATATGTCAAATTAACTTCATATCGAAATAAGTTGATATGTTGAAGAACACATCAGGACCTTCAAGCCAGGATGTTTCAGAAGCTCAAATGCGCAACGGGATAATTAAGTAGGAATCAAAAGAGATCAACGACCAAACCCAACCATTATGCCTTACGACAATTTCAAGCCACCATGCAAGGGGCCGGTCGGCAAACTAATGCATAACCGTTGCCCTAGCCTTTGGCTACTGATCGAGCATCTACTATTGAACTCAACTAGCATCAGGCCACAAAAAAGAATAAAACGCAAAGTTCGACTTATCATGCACCTCCCTCACTTGACTAAGAACCTTACGACAACGAACCGGATGGCATCTCGACCATTACACTAAACTTAGCAAACACCTCAGGGGCGGTATTCAATCCTTCCCCCAGGGGGATATATCCCCCTACTCTGATTCAATCCTCTGGGGGGACAAAAAAGGGTTGCGTCATAGGACCTAGCATACCTCTGTGTTTCTACCTGCCAGACAGTTAGAGCAGCGCGACCCCTCAGGGAAAGAGTGCGTCATCGGAGGGTAGTAGCGCTGCTCTAACTGTCTGGCAGGTAGAAACACAGAGACAAAAATGCTAGGTTTTTTTTTTCCTATGACGCACCCTTTTTGTCCCCATGATGAGAGGATTGAATTCAAGGAGGGATCTAATCCCCGCTGGGAAACGATAGTACCCTGGACGCAGCCTACGCTCCATGAGTCGACACCTGAATGGAATGGGCTGTAGCAGAATGAAGACTCGATGGAAACAGCAGGCATCGACTGACCATGACCGAGAAGCACGCCTGACCATCTGCAGAAGTTTCATTCTGACCATACAGACACATTTCCTAGTTGGTCACTAGTACAGATGAGTCATGAGCCCACCACGACAAATCACGACAACACGCATCGCGCCTGTGGCTCCTCGCAGTCTGGCCTCACATCTCGACGCAAAGCATGACCTCTCATCCGCGCCTTATATCCCCCAGTCTCAGTTGATCGACTGGTATCCTTTTTGGAACTATTTCACGTTATTCCAGGCAAGCCATGGAAGGTGACCATGGGATATGCTCCCGAAAATTGGCTACAGCAGTGCAGAGAACGGTTCGAAACGTCTCAAAATCTCCTTTCTCCTGGAGGACCGCCCGAAATCACATTGCAAAGATAACTCGCCACGTTTCGAAGGAAACTGGCTGGACCACGACACCACATCTGTCGTATAGCCCTGACATTGCTCCATCGTACTATCACCTCCTCAGCTCCCTGAAGCAGCAGCTTGAGAGAAAAAGAGTCAGTAAATGCAACCACCCCAAAAACGACCTCTCCGAACTTTTCATTCCACAGCTCCATTCATTCTGGGAGGAATGCATCCATTCGTTCCCTAGCAAGTGGATGCTTATCAGTGATTATGATATGGTTACTTTTTTTCTGATCGTTTTTAAAGGAAAGATAAAACTTGAAGAATTAAAGTGTGAAAATGCCAAGAAATTATGGTGCAACCCAATACATACCTTGTATCGGGATAACACAAAAGTTGGCTTTTTTCACGTGAACCCCATTTTAATCTTTTAAATTGAATAAAAGTAAACTAACTTCCAGAATCGATCAAACGAGCGTTATACATCTCAGTGTAGATCCAAAACTAGCCCTAATTCATAATTACATCGGTACGTTACAATACATTGATCAAATCCCCACAAAATTACCTGTTACCACTAAGTAGAAAGAGAAAACCAAATGTACAGAACTCACTTACTTTCATCGCACTGCCAATTCAACAACGCTCGCAGCTCATCTTCAACAGTGTAGAATAGCTGTGTTGGATCAATTCCATCAACGGTTCGCACTTCACGGGGTAAAACAATAATTTATATGAGATTCTCTTGATTTCGAAAACAAAAACTGAAATAGTCAAAGGAAGTGGCAACGTGGTAGTGACATTAACGGTGCTATGGAAGCAAACGTTAAAATACTTAGCTGAACATATACTGCCGAAATGCATGATCCACCACGACCGTAATACCCCTTGCACGAGAAAATTTCAGTCTCGATCAGACGGACACTCACCCAACTTCGATACATAAAAGCCCTACATAAAAGTGGAAGCACGCCATGAGATCAATTTCGAATGTAAGTCAGGGATCTTAGCATCCGCCTCCTCCGGATTCATAGAGAATTTTAGTGCCGGAAATTGGTTGCCATGATTCAACGCCGCCCACTTCTCCCTGGCCTACAAGACTCTCAAATGGGGCCACTCCCAACGCCACCCTACTTTTCCCCTTTACAAGTGATAGAGAACAATTTTCGTCAAACAAGGACAGGTTGTCAGAGTTCAGGGAACACCATTGCGGGTATTGTTGATACCGCTCCAAATATCGACTTATATGTTAACAAGCTATCACCCACGTGTTGCTCGCAAACGAAACGTTCTCCCTCTCTTGCAGGGCAGATCTTCCCACCTGCAACCCTAGTCCACACTTATCAACTAAGCAATGATCAACTGTAATAGCTCCAATTATTTCCCGAACTGCGCGACTTGCTAAAAAGTCAAGCAATTAAAATTGTGATTCGATGGCCCCAAAAAGCCGTTCAACGTCCCCGAGGGGACAATTATTAGTATTTGATGTCCCAAAGAAGTCGGTGGCTACATAGGTAACATAGTCACTCTCGCCGGCTCCTTTGGGACATGAGATACCACTTCCTCGGACACGACATTGAAAATCGTAGAACGGCTAGATGCTCTTAAGCAAATCTGGAAGGAAACTCACAAGCTCAAAAAACTGAGTTTGCGTCGCGTCCCCACTGACATTTTTGTTTCTTCTCATCCCCCTTACATTCTGCCATAGCACCTTCAGGATTGATCCGATACAGTGATCTGAAATAGATTTGTCATCACATCTGCTCCAATTCTGGAAACACAAGGCCGTAAATGGGAGGATCATGACAATACCAGATAAGGCCACGACCGTGGAATCTTCAACGAAGGCGGATACATTTGCCCTGACAAGGGCAAAGCTTTTTTCAAAAAAGGTTTCTTCGGCGCATGTAGGGAACACAAAACCATGTTTCATTTTCGCTGAACGGTTTTAGCAGTACCAAAAGAAGCATAAGGTACTGTTAAGGGTTCGATCCCCGTGGCGACTAAATTTTGCATTTGGGTTGGCGCCTACGGTTTGGTGCCAAATCGCGCTAAATATCAAAATCAGATGTCAAATTCATCGTCAGGACCATTTTGAAGCCAACAAGTGGCCGCCAACCTTGATTGCAAAATTTAGTCGCCGCGGGGATCGAACCATCGAGGGTATCATTCACCACTTTTTTGATACTACTAAAACCGTTCAGCGAAAACGAAACATGGTTTTGTGGTCCATACATGCGTCCCTACAATATGCAAGAAACCGTTTCCAAAAAGCGCGGCTTGCCCTGAAAGACCCCCTGTAGAGTTGTCGAAAGCGCAGGGGTTAAGCAAACAGCACAGCAATTGTCTTCGAGATCGCTGTGCGGTTCCAGCTCTCTACGCTAACAATTCATATGCCCCAATCCTACTGTACAACTTTTCAGTTAGGGTACTCTTCACACAGGTAATCTGACTCTAGTCGCCCAACAACATAACAAGACAAACGGTTTACGGACTACTTGATTTTTCCTCAATGGTCCTGCCGCGATGGCTAGAGCACAGACGATTAGAGAAGATGATGCCCTAGGACTAAGCCTTGGAGAGGAGAGGGACCCGCGAGAACGCGCAGAGCGGTTTAAAGGGCTGAGTTCAAGTAGTCCGTCGACCAATCACCACCCCCCCGACCCACTCAGCGCGCAAATTCCGACACGTACTTTAAACCTTTTGAACATCCTTCATATCTTTGGTCCGACCTTTCTAGAATATCTATACCTCAAACACAGGCAATAGACCAGGCTGTTTCCTTCCGTCAAACCAACAGCCTGAATCCTTGCATCAGCATGTCCTTCCCCATCCATATCACGACCCTTGTCTGCGACGACGAGCACGTTTAGGACAGTTCAAAAACGAACCCATACCATGCATCGACAGAAAGGCGACCTCATTACCCTCGCTTTTCAAACTGCCTAAGCTGTAGCAACACGTTAAACAAGGCTCTCGACTATTCCAGAAACCTCTTCGCGTCACCCCAACCCTCAGCGTTTTCATCGAAGGCGAGCGTTTTACACTTCTCACTTTTCGCATGTTAGAACGACCTCGTCCGACCGACTATGCGTGCGCCCTTAGGAACGAGCCTACCCCTACCTCTGAATTTGCTACGTTACCCTTCCTTGTGGGATGAGCCTATCCCAGGAAAAGGATGGGGGAGGGGTCATGTGAACTGCCGCCTGAACCTACATCTGAAATAAGCGGTAGAAAAGTTCGTACCACCAACGGTAATCCACTTTTCTGAAAGAAGTGTCGGGTGAGTATAGAAGCGGAAGCGGAACGGTTTGCGAATCGAGGATTTTCTCTCCTGCGAAAACTGGGATTACCGTAAAACTATCCCACCGTTTTCACCTCCCCTATTTGAATAGACCCCGAAGATTTCCCGTTTCTATGCCATCTCCGTGAGAAGCCACAGACATGCGGACCAGGGCACCACTGACTGCTCGCCTCCTCCCCCTCCCCTTTCAATTCCCTTTTCCTTTTTAGGTATTATATGAAGTTTCAACTGAAGTTATGAAAGCGCTATACTTCAGAAACGGTCTATTAACCTAACAGCCCGCTTCATTTCGGACGTAGTTAATGTGACCGACTGCGAACGTGACGTTGGCGACCGTGCCGCGCCATGTTGCAGCACGGTCGCCATGGTCGACTGGTCGAACCCGAGCCAACAGTTCACTTTGACGTTTGCAGTGAATGGTGTTGCTCATATTGAACGTTTTTGTGGATATTTCATCATGATGTCATTACACAAACATTGCGCAACTCTCGTCGTTGGGAGCCTGCTGCATGCAGCGTATAGGTTGCAGAAACTGGTCCCCCTTTCACAAACTTTCCGTTTCCCACACCGTTTTTCATGCCGGTTATACTTTTTGTCGAAGCTATTTCATAAGCTCCTTGATCAGTCTTAAATCATTGTATAGTGCCCTTTCAAAGTGACGTTCCAGGAGTCTTTCAGTAACATAGAACCCGAGTTTACGCACGAACTTTCCCCGCTGTTTTCGTGAAGAGGCATGTCACATGGCAATGACTCTGATAACAGATCAAAATAACGGTTTTTTTTTGTTTGGTGTTATATGCCAAGTGACATCAAAGACTATGTGCCCTACGCTACTCACTCTGGGATGAATAGTACTGTTCTGAATCTGCTCTCATTTCCTATTCCTATTTCACTACGTTCACTTTCTTGTGGGTTCACGATTTCTCGTCTGAGTGTTCTATTTGGGTCACCTATCTTCGGAAATTGTTAACATCTGAAGCCGATTCCGCCGATTAGAAGTCACCCTAGCGATGGCTGGTTGAATTGTCCAATGACGTCGTTTGCTAGGTTCTGGTACACATCGAGTAGCGCCAGAGCCGGTTCAGGCCGACGTCATACTTTGCGAATCCAGCGATTCGCTAGCGAATCGCTCGGTTCGCAAAGTATGACGTCGGCCTCATGCAGAAGTGTCGTCGAAATATTAGGGAATCGCGAAAAGGTCCACATGTATGGAATCGAGAATCACGATTATCCACATGATATGGAGGCGGAGAAGTTAACCGATCGTGTGGCATTGTAGGCATCTTTCGCACTTCCCACCGTTGCGTTCAGTCTGGAAGGCCATCTAATAATCTGAGCAGTTTTTTTTTTTCAAACCGGTGGCATTATTTATTCATTTCTTGTCATTTTGGTAAGTGATGATTTTATCCATTGCTGCACATCACAGTTGCTTCAAATCTTCTGAAACCTTACGTAGTGTCTACAAAGGGTCGACGGACTACTTGAACTCGGTCCTTTAAGCCGCCTCAATCCGATGCTCTCGTCTGCGCTCTCTCGCCTTATCAGCGGCTGATGACCACTGTGATCTCACACATTCAAACTTTTGCCAACTCACCCTCGAGTCCCTCCCCCTCCAAGGCTTAGTCCTAGAGCTCTCACTTTTTGAGATTTGGAGCCGAGCCAGGCGCCGTTCTCTAATTGTCTATGCTCACCGCCATTTGTGGCAGGACCATAGAGGAAAGTTCAAGTAAACCGAACTAAGGTAGAACTCGTGCTTGTGCAGCAGCTGCTTGGTTTTCTCATAAGATTCATTACGAAAGTCGATTTCGACTACGTCCTCAACTTATTTGAGAATGCTCATCCATTAGTTCGTTCAAATGGGGCTTAATATTGAAGGTCTGGGTTTTTTTTTACCTTGTTCAGTGAGTTTTGGAGTGAAAGCGGCTGCTGGAAGCTTTTGAGACATTTCCAACAAACCACTTTTTCATGAAACCTCCATGAGCTGATGTTCAATAAAATATTTACGCAGCTGAACGCGAGCATCTATGACTCATCTCTGGCATTTCTCTCGGAACTTACGAAATTCTCGGGGATGACAGTTCTAACATTCTATTGTTGGCTTGGGTATGATTCGCCGTCTTCATGACTGCGCATTGTTGATGGTCTGTGTTGCTCGTTTATGAAATCCTCCGAAAACATGTACAGTGTTCACTCCAGTATCAAACTTAAGAGGTTTTTTTTCATGTGGGATTTCGCATTTAGCGGAATTGATGTGCTAAGCTCTTTTTGTGAGAGGTACAGGAAGTAACAGGATAGAGGGATGGCTTCGAGGCACAAGGGAATGTAGGAGGTTATTAGTTGAGACAAGCTACCCTTGATTCCCGTCACAAATAGTCTCACACAGCACAGCAGTGAGACAAGTGCAATTAGGAATTCCTTGTGCAGTAAGTTGCCCTAGAGTTGTTGTCACGTAGCTGATGCAATCCTGGGGTCAAGGGATCACATTTTCTTCAAATATCAGGGTGCAAGCGGTCTTAATTTGTGTTGTAACTTGAATATGAGTTAGCGCACGGTTAACATCCCTTCAAGTTGGGGGACGATGGAGAGGTGAAACGGAGGAAGACTTTGCAAGGAATTTCAGCGAACAGCGTGCGTTTGGACTTTTTGCTCTTCGTACGTCTGATGTGACTTTCTCATTGAACACTTGACCCTAATTGATGTCCCACATTCCCCTCTGTCTACTGTTTTTACTGTGTCGGGTATGCCAAGGCTATTTGGCAGCTTCACGTTCGTTGACAGAAGGTAGACCAATTCCACTCATGCTCTGAGCATAAATCTCAATAATTTGTTGACGACCAGTCTTTAAGTCTTGCTCATATTTTCCTTTACGATTTACGAACTTTTTTTCGTCGTATTAAGTGAAATTAATCATTTTTCCATACAACTGCTTATAATCCTCCAAAAGTGAAGTTCATGATGAAAAGTCAGCTCGTCATAAATTCGAGTTAGAGATGGTCAGTACGCAGGGATGAAGAAAAAAAACATGAGAAATGACCCACAACCCGAGAAATGGGACACCTTCTTCGCTCTTTGATTTCTGCACTAGTGATTCTGCCCTCTACAATGCTAGCGCTCCTTATGCTAAACGGCTAGCGTCGGACGGCAGAGGGACCTTGTCGATGGAGAGCGGCGGTAACGGTAACGAAACTGCTAAGAAGCTTATAAGCACATTATTTGAGCGCATTGCTGTTCTATCACGCGCAGTTCTCTTCAGTCGCCTCCACCTCTCACTATAGCAGGAATTTTCGGGCTTACATCCCGAAAATGATTTGTTAACACCACCGATTGCCTAATTTTACGTTGAAGACTATGTCTCCCGCCCGTCTGCCCGTCTCCGATGAACAGTTTTTCTATCGCGTTGGACTTTCACACCCGATGCGGATGATAGCCAAAAGCCTTGAAATGCGAGAATGAAAATGCATTTTTTGGTGCTAAGTTAGTTTGGGGGAGGGACCACGCGCGGCGCCGGCGTTTGCTCGCGCCTGCATCTTGTTGGCTTCGGTAATCGTGACCTAAGGAGTAGGCATTCCTAGGGTGAGGGTGAGGCAGTCACTTGCAAGTCACCGCGTGTCCCCACCCGATTATTTATCTTCGATTTTTTATTCATTTGTAATATGCTTTGCTATTTCACTTGTTTGAATTGTATTACAATTTAGAAACAACAGTGAACATAATCTAAAACAGGGGTACTCTATAGTGGATTACCTAAATGAAGCTGATATTTTCCATTGAAGTAAAAGTGATTTTTTTGCCTGAAGTTAGAAAGCGTGTTGGTGTAATTTCTTCAGAAAGGGGTGTGGATTTGATTCTGCTCAATGATATTGGTGTGGAAGTTTGAGATTTTGAGCGTGCTCTTTCCCTTTGCTCAGAAGGCCAAACACTAGGGACTTTTGCAAATTATCTGAAAGCAATAGCAAATTAAGCCGACGAGCTGAATACCAAGTGGTTTTAATCCATTCTACAGTATTGTTGGCTTGTGTGCTTCTCGGATTTGGGGTTTTTTCATGAAAAAAAGTGGTCCACACAGTAGACCCGAGAAAAGTCGCTTGGTTGCTCACGTGATAATAACGTTGACACATCAAGCTACTCCCTTTTTTCAATCCAACTCCACGTTCAGTCGGTCGTGAGATTTTGGCTTCCAGGCATTCTGACTTCGTCGATCAACTTCATTTGCAGCGCAATAAATGTCAAAGCGCTCATTCGTATCGTGTCATGTTCCAGATGGCCTATGTTCCAGCGCGGCTCGCTGCTCCGTATTGAGCAACAAAAATGTCATATCCGCCCATCTTATAATAAAGCGTCTCACTGCTTCGTGTTTACATTAGCCCGCTCGTGCCTCCTGGTAGGAATTATGCTCGCGTCGGAGTTCATTCTATAAATTCTTCGAAATTGTGGAACGAATACTAGGATTGGAATTATTCGAGTTTTATGCTCCTCTCCCATATCCCATAATTTTCAAATATCTTGCCTAGGCTTGATCAATAGCCTCGCTATTTTGTCGACATAATTTGTCGGGCGGCGAATTCATGTCATGTGCCCTGAATGTGAATAGGGTTTTATAGATGGGACTCAATTTATCCGGATACGTTTGTATGCCGTATATGCTCCCCTCTGTCTTGGGGTTGTGTGGGTAAGCAATGGATACTTCACATTAGCTTGTTAATGTTCGCTTTCAAGGCGATTGATAATTCTGCTACCATCAAATCTGATCACTATGTCTTAAGAAAGCTACTGAGCTCTAGCTCCCCGTTCTCTTTCCATCTGCTGAAGGGCAGTGCGATACTGCTCCAACTGCTGGGGATTCAATCCACTTCTGAATGGTTTGCTACCTTTTTTGAAAGCGTTAGTTCTGCTCTTTCTCACTAACGCCGAAATGTGTTGCCTGATTGTAACTTTTGTAACTTCGAGTCATGGCTTGTTATTGGGGAATAACAACTTAGGAACTGTTGTAATGTTTCCCCGTTATGATTAAGTGTATTTATGATCGATGAAATAGGAATCCATAGAACGAAATTTCAACTACAACCGCACCAAATATGCCGAGATTCTAAGATGAGAGCAGTACGGATACAACTAAAGAGTTGGTAAAATATAGCACCGTGTATGGAGAGAGGATCCATCGTCTACCAGTTGGTGATCTGAAGTGTTGTTCAAATGTCATTGAGGGAAGTGCTCGCGTCAAGCTTTTTGAAGTCGGGAGTTTTCACTAATTCATACCTTGAGTCATATGGGTGGCGAATCATATGGTTGGGAAGTGATGCATTACCAGTTCCATTCTCCCAGCTCTTTTCCTTCACACCACCAAGGATTGGTCCGTGGAAGTTGCTGTTTTCAGCGCTCTGCAATACCGGTTTATTGAGCCTATTCTGTTCTGGCTACCTATTTAGAAATTACGCACTCGAGCCCAGATGGAGAGTTATTGGGGAGTTCGGTTAATTGCTTGGAAAGTAAAACGAAATTGGTTGACTCTGCTTCACAGTTTGATGAGAAGTGTAATTCTTCTATAAATACTTCAAGTTGAAATAGGTGTGATTATGAGCGTATTTCACATCCAGCAATCTCACGAAGTCTTTTGCTTCCTGTGGCACTGTTCTCATTATAGTTTTGATCATTCGTTCATTGTTTACTGCTACTGCAGTGCTGACGTTTAATCGCTGTTTCGCCATTGATTCAGTACAAACTAGTCATAGCGGCAGCAGATGTGTTGCGATTGATGGTGACTCGAGGGTTGTTATTGTGGGCATTGATTTTATCGTTCGTTATCGAGTCCTAGGCGTTCGCTACCAAATGACGTTCTTTTTTTTTCATTCGTCACTCATTTAATTCCAGTCGTGACCGTGTGAGTGGCTTATCGATTTTTGCCGTTTCATTTGTTAGCGTCATCAGCGTTGGTGTTTCTGTTTCATCATGGCTACGCCTGCAATGGAATGTGAGTGTTTA